TGTCTCAACAATTTAATTAAACAGTGTATTGAAGTGAGTTCTGTTGGATTGCCCTCAATATATACTACCCTGGACCAACATAACTAGGATGTAAAATTCAAGAATTACATTTTTCTCTGGTAGACATCTCGGGGGGGTCTCCACCAACTTGGTGGGCTTTAGTTTCATACAATTATTAGTAGAAAAATTTGTGTTGCCCCTTTCAGAATATTCACAGTGCTTCAGATTAATTCAGGTCTTTCTTTTCCCTGCTAGGTAGTCCTTAACTTATTTGGGACCTATGAGGCTTTTTTGGTAGTACCTCTCTGAGTGGAACCAAGAAGTTGTGTCTCCTATATCCACTAAGATTTGTGTAACTCTATTCAGCTTCTTCCCCACAAGATCTTGCATTTGCTTGGGTGGTCTTAGCCTTGCACAAACTTCCTGGAACTGCTGTTTGCTTCTCTAATATGTCAATCATGCCGTCATCCCTCTTCCTCTTCTCTGCTTCAGCATCTTCTCCATTTGCATCCTTAAGTACCAACATAAGCAAGCCTTTGAGATCATTCCTGCAGCTCCTTCTTTTCAGACTCTTTTTATGGGCTCTCTTCTGAGTGTTGCAGAGTAGTTGCAGCACACTGTCATCTTTCTCAGTTGTTTTTGGGTTCCTCCTGTAGGACATGCTCACAAAGAGGAAGGAAAATTTTGCTTGGTGGAAAATAATAAATCAAGCTTCAGCCTTGAAAATCTGACTCTTTGTTTTAAGTCATTTGTTTTTAGACACTCAGTTGTCTTACCCTTAATAACAGGCGTACCACTCTGTGATTTTAGTGTCAAAGCAGGACACTAGCAGTAAAAGGGAAAGTGGAGATAATAAGATGTACTGCTTCCAAGTACAGAGAAAGAGCAAACTACTAACTTGCCAAACTGATAAACTGGCGATGAAGGCCCAAATGGCAGATCACAGTGTCACCCGGCTGAAGTGTAAAATATACAGACAATAGTAAAACATTGTATGTTACCATCAGAAAGGATGCTTTAACTGATATCATAATAATTGCATGGAACAGTTAATCCTGTTTTGTCGGAAGCGGTTTTATGTGATTTCTGAAAGCACAGCAATGGACTCAATTCCCTGTGCTAAAATAGTAACGGTTTAATTCAGTGTGATTGTTTGATTCAAAACCAGAAACAACAAAAGCTGATTGTTATCTTAAATTTGATAACAATTTGCTGTCCCACAATTAATTATTATTAAGCTCAACTGCAATTTCAGAGTTTCAACCATGTCTCCTTGCTTGTCCTTCTCAGTCATCCCCTTATTTTACAAAAAGCCCAACTGCGTCCTAAATCCATTTTAAACTCTTGTTTTCTATTGCCTTGGCAGTTTACAGTATAGCTCTTTTGTTCACTTTGTCCCCCAAATTAAATTTTCTATGGACCAGATCCTCATCCGGCTGAAGCTGGCATAGCTCTATCAACAACCACCACGCTGCTGATCCAGATGATCGAGCCCCCTCCTATTAATCATTGGTCCTTTCCCCCATCCTCCAGGCAGATTGCTTGCACGGTGTTGGCAGGGTTCCTGTATCATCTGTTCATTCACTAATAATGCTATTCAGCATTTATTGGGCCAGTCTGGCACTCCGCATACTCAGCAGCAAAGCTGCTATTGATTGCATGATGGGGAAGCAGAATCAAGCCGTATGAAGTCGTATTACTCTGTATTCTGAGAGCTCTGGGCAAACTACAATGCATTTAATTCACTACTGGTTTATATTCATCTTGCTTGTGTCATAGTAAAGAGAAAATGTTGCAACACTGCTGGGGGTGGGGGTGGTTCGCATGATCATTGTTTGGAGGATTTGAGAGTCATGTCACAAAAGGCAAGTTGTGGGCTTTGCTCCAGCAAGGACACACCTTAGTAACTGTAAGGCACATTGCCAAAGAACTCCCTGTTAAGGGAGGTAAGATGATACACTCTGTGTTGCTGGATCACATATTATCAAATAAAATTGCCACATAAAACCAGTATGAAGAACAAAATATTTTCAGCAGAAGGAATGAATATGATCCCACTTACTCCAGGTTACACCATCTACACTCTTGCTTTCCATGAATATGAAAGCCGCACAAGCTCTATTCCATTTTAAATGAAATGGTACTCTAAAAAGTGTAACAAATTGTTAAGATAAACCATATATGCTTTAAAGAACAGAACTCAGTGACGTATTTGGCTCTAAATCAACTTTAAGATTTAAAATTTTGAAGAGTATTACTGGGAACTATAATGCTTTCCAAGGTCTCTCATGTCAAAGACAGCAGACATTAAAATAATACAGAGCAGCTTTAAAAAATGAAAGGGTGCTTGACATTTTGCTATCCATGTTTGCTTTTGGTTTTCAAATAGTGGTGTTTTTACCTAACAAGAAAAATATATTCTTCACTGGATTGAAAACATATTGAACATTAAAAAATATTAATTCAAATATTTTCATTATGTCATTTTTTACAAATTTGGAAAGGTTCTGAAAAATTTGCAAAACTCATCCATGCAATTTTTAAGGAGGGTATTACCTTTAATTATCTGTAGTCATTATAAGGAGATGATTTTAAAAGTGTGTTAAAGAGTTTAATCTTATAGCATTGCAGTTTAAAATACAGTATATAACACTGCAGTGTAACAAACTGCATAATTACGGATGTAACTGACAGCAAAAGAATGGCATACATAAATACAGATACAAACAAATACGCCAATCTCCTTATCACTGATATCTAAATATCCACCAAGGAGACACAACCTGAGCTTAAATTGTTAATACTGTCTAAAAAGAGAAAAAGTCAAGGAAGTGGGGTTGCGGTGCCTTATTTCCTCCCCAACCAAGTTACTTCTCCCTGAAATAAGCATGATAAAATTACTGCTTTTCCTTGACTCACATTTTGGAGCACGCCTTGGTTCTGTTTTCACTGTAAGAACAGTCTTACAGATTTAACATCCATACTTATCATATAGGCTCTTAATCCGGTGAAGATTTAAGTGCAGGGCTAGCTTAATGCACAGAGTAGCCCTAGTTACTTCAGTATGTGTTTTCTGCATGTGGAACATGAGTGAAACACAGCCCTTGTTTTCACGGCCATTATTTCTGAGTAACCATTTCTTTCTGTCCTGACAAAATTACTTTTTGCTATAGCTGCAGTTCCCTGAATGCTAATATTTTTTATCCAAATGTATTTGTAGCCTTGATGTGGCTTCCTAATACGAGTACATTGAATTTAAATGCTATACCGTTCCAGCTAAGAACCTTGGGGGAATTTCTGGCACGTGGGCCAGGGGACCTGTGACCTCTGCATTGGCAAGGGACTTTTTCTTAGGCAGCCCACAGCTCCAACAGGCTTCCCCTCAAAAGCTCACTGCCATCCTCTTCTCCCCTACGATAACCCTACCCTCTTTTGGCATCTCATCCCACCCTGCGGTGCTCCACACCATGCTGTCCCAGCTGCTGGCGAAGTTTCATTACAATCTGTGCTGTGCCCCCTCCATTGCTCGCCTTCCCCTCCTCTTGCCTGGCTGAAACAGAAGAGGAGCTCGGTGTGGAGTAGCACCGGGCGACTTGGTGGCTTTGCAAAGGGATGTCGTGCCACTTTGGATCTGCAAGGGAGGCTGAAGGACCTGCACGGGCAGAGCACTGCTGGGAGGAAAGCTGAGGCTAGGTGAGGAGAAAGCGCTGCACGACAGAGAGGTGGTTAATGAACAGCTTACAAAAAGCATTCAGAAGTCTCGCTAGGCCCTCAGTAAAGACAAAAAATGTTCTAACTCCTCCATGAGGAATTTTCAGTCCCAACATGTCCAATTGTATGGGTATTTCTTAAGGGTATTGCACAAAAAGCATTCGTCAGCTCCAGTGGCAGCTTCAATAACCCAAACAGCTGCACGGTTAGGAGCCCAGAAGTATCAAATTCCTGTACTCCACACTGTTCCCTGGCATTTGTCAATTGAAAAGCTTTTAGCTTAGTTTATTTCTGAGCAAACATTTCCCTTTGTCCCCCCAAACACATGTTACTTCTTGGATCTGGAGGGCCAGAAATACTGCAGAGCAGAACGCTGTAATCACTGCAGCGGGAGGAGGAGGAGCCAGCCTCAGGCATCCCTCTGAACCCAGCATCAGCGTGATACACTTTCCACCTGACAGGTGAAACACTTGATTCCTCACCTCACAGAATCACGACTTAAACTTTAAGGATGCAAGTTTGATGCCCACCTATGACAAGGGACTGGTTTTGCTGCAGCATGTGGAGTCCAAGCTTCCTGAAACTGGTAAAGGAGCATGTCCGGTACTAGCAAACAGAACTGCTGAGGAGCCTCTGGTTTGCTGCATTTTTCTAAG